AATTAATAGTGTGTATTTCCAGACTGGTTGGGGAGGTGTAGATATGTTGATGCAGCAAAAGCATGCTTGTAAATGCTAGCAGGTTGCTGTTGTTCCTCATAGTTTATATGGAAAACGCTGAATGTCAGAAAAAATACTCAACAAGTAGTTGTGAAAAGTGCGATCAAAACTGGAAATTTATACCTATAAAAGTTTCACCTTTTGAAATGTATTGTTTGAAGTGGTAAGATAGAACTTTTACTGTGAAGGTGCATGTTATCCGTTTCCATTTTGTGTGAACTTTTTTCATGTTTTATCTACAGCTTGAAGAGTAAAAAGGCTAAAAAGTCTGCAGCTTTCATGCAAACTACAGGCGACTGCAGCACTTTGCAAGGGATCTCACGGGGAGCTTTTTGGTGCAGAACCCAACTTGCAAATCATTTCGCCGGGCAGTGAGCTGACCTGTGAGAAGGTGTGAGGAGGTCGCTAACTGGTCTGTAGGCCTGTGTGACTGAGGCCTTATGCTTTTGCAATGTTTTTTCTTTTACAGACGTGGATCATAGCGACAGGCTTCAGCTGCAGTTTCTGAGACAAACTTTTTAATTAACAGTGAACTTCCTCCTGATCTCACTGGGTACAGATGCATTTTTTTTTTACTTTGTTGCTCCCCAACTTTTGAAATCAGTCTATGATTCATGCCACATGCCAAAACATGATCCAAATCTTTCAAACCTGACACTACGCTTTAAACAATACACTCCCCAGTGTGTAGAAGACTGGAGGAAATTCACTTAAGCTTGCACGGATTCTATTTTTTTAATATTAGTAGTATTTTTTGGAGACATTTAGTTGCAGATAATTATCTGTGAACGACCTAATGAACCCACATTAGTGCAGCAGGAAGCCATCGGACTCATGTCATCAGCGTATTTAAAAATATGAGAAGAGGCTTGACATTCATTAGTGTAGAGTTTGTATAAAATCCAGTACTGGCCATTTTCGCTAATGAGAGGACACGGTGTCTCTGCTCACTAAAATGACAATGAAATTATTCATCCAAAAAATGTTATTTAAATGTTACTGTGGCGTGCGTGTGGTCTCTGGCCAGCTGTAGAGGAGGGGTGACACAGTGAGCTCCCGGGGCGGCGCAGGGGCGGGGTCAACAGGTGTGCTGGGTTCTGACATTGATTGTGTGTCTTTTTATGTTGGCAGTGACAGTCGGAGAGGGGGCGGACGTGACAGCACAAAGAGAGCGGGAGTGGCTGTGAATGAAACCACAACTCCAAATAAAAGTTTTGCTGTCAAAATAATCGCTCCGGCGTATGTTTATTGGGTCAAACGCTACAGTTACTTAAACAGATGACTTTGGGTTTGTACTCTCTCCAGTGTAGACACCAATCCCAACACAAAAAGAGCCTCAGTAACTATAAAAAAATTAAAATTGCTGCTGCGAAGCCATCTCTGATATCTATAAAGAAATGTATATGATATTCGTATGTTTCAGTGAGACTAGCTGTGCGTAAGACACCACCACCCCCACCACCTGTACGGTTGGCGATCCGATCCCAGGCTGGAAACAGTCCCAAAGTATCCACTGAACCCCAGATTGCTCCTAGTGTGTGCATCATGTGAATGTTAGATAGAAAAACTGTAGAAAAAAAGTGCGTTTATGAATGTTTGTGTCGATAGATAGTTTTGGGTTTTTGTTACTAACGAAATATCTGAAGGAATTATGAATTCATACCACCACTCAGTTCTTGTAGGAAACTTAATTATCTTTGCGCCTCAAACAAACACAGTGGTGAAATCTCAGGCAGCAGATTCCCCTTTGATGCCATGAGCTTGATGGCAAACTGATAACCAGACAAATCAAAGACAAATGAAAACTTTCTAGTTTTCAGACTCGGTAACATGTATAAACTCCTAAAAAATCATCATAAAACACTGATTTGTGTAACAAGTTATAACTATGCACGACTTTTTAAATTTGAAGATAATCAAAAATCTCTTTGAAACACATTTGAGCTTTGAAAAAATACTAAAATGAAGCCTGTTTGTTTTTTGACTCAGTAGGGATGATTTTAAATAGGAGAAGCTGGGAATATTTTATATTGAAAGCCATATGGAATCCTAGAGTGCCTTATTGCGTTATATTGCATTATATGTTGACATTTCCCCATAAACTGACGTAGAAAAGGTACACAATTGTGCGTAACATTTGACAAGAATGCAGGAAATGAAACGTCTGATGCTTGCAATAATCGGGGGGAGGGGGGTGTCTGGCCCTCTATTTTTCCACTCATCGATGCTCAGAAAACTACGCCAATGACTGTAAAGTTCACAAAAAAAAATAGGATTGTGCATTCGTATTATATCACACCCATTATCAGTCAGTAACTGTATTAAGCACCACAAAAGTCTATCCTACCTTTCCTAAACACATGTTATGTATATTCTTACATATAAAGTATAATGAGAGATATTGATTTTGTGGATTATCTGTATTTTTTATTTTAAACTCGTTTATTAATTTCTGACTTTGAAACACACCGGTGTGTCTACTGGTGTGTCTTTTCACAGTGTGGTCCAGCAGCCCTATAATGAGTCATTTAAACAGGTGATACCCCGTCCCACGCTGTTTACAGCAGATCTTGCTCATCGGTAGATGAAAGGCACAGTCGTTTAAATGTATTTCCTGTTAATTTACTCAAATCTTTTGTGTCACATCATGTGTCAGATAGGTGTTAAGCTGTTAACAGTTGAAAATTACTGGAGCAATTATTTATTCACACTTAAATGGGATCATCTGTATTTGTATAGCAACACACCTAACACCACTATTAGACTCAGCTCTCTCAACTTCAGCCTAGTACATCACTCCATCCGGTGTTTTGGCTGCAAACAGAAGCAGCTTCCCTTCTTTTGTCTACAAACAGCCTTTCGTTAACATTGGACTTATCTTAGAATCGTGTCAATCTGTCAGACTGTGCACTGCTTACTCTGGGCTTCTCTCTGGCTTAACTGCGATGCGCAAACAAGCACTGATGTCTGGACTTGCTGAAAAGCTCTGGTTTTGTCACCGCCTTGTTCACTGACTGAAACAGATGCTCGAGAACTTTGTTCTTCCCCTTCACAAGGCTTCCAGCTGGGAGCAGCATGTCGGATCAGCTCGCTATCTCAGCACTGTACCTGTGTTCAATCACAGCTTATAGTGATGTATGAACAAGGGAGAGCTTTCCTTTACATCCACATCTATAATGAATTATGCACAATGATGGCAGCAGTGTGACATAAGACACCTCCTCTACTGGGTTTTGGTCCGTGAAAGGGTCAGACTACATTTTTGTGTTAACGACATGCTTTGCTTAAACACCCAAAAGCAAATCGTCAGGCTCAAATTTCTCTGAGCCAACTGCTGCTGTTGTTGGACATAAAACAATGTTTTAAAACAGACGAGGGTGTGTTACCCTCTCTGCATCACAGCTGATCTAGCCTAATTCATACCTAGTAGATGCATATCAGCTGAATGGGCAACACAATATTACGTGACAAAATTTGTATTCTTAGAACTTCTTTATGTAAATTTGAGTCACCAGGACTTTTGAAGTTTCATGTGTGTTAGTGATGTGCGGATCGATCCTGAAATATCGATTCCTCCGATACCAGTCATTTATGTTGTAGAATCGATTCTCACATTAAAATATCGATATTTTAGTAATTTAGGGTAAATTTGTAGTTTATCATTAACAGGAACACAGTGGAAAGAAACTATAACATTCAGATTGTCTACATTCAAAGGAACTACTTCCTCTTCCGCCTTTCATAGTCATGTGCAAAATACGGCTGTATAAATGTCTCGCGGCCCCTTGGCGTGCGCACTCACAACGATGGCTGAGCGTAATTGGAGTCATGTGCGGACGTATTTTACCTCCACAAACAGACGTCTCAGCTGCTGGAATTGGCTGGGCCGCGCTATGAATTCTGCGATATGGTTTTTCAATTTTGTTGTCCGGGTGGAAAATCGGGAGAAATTCGGGAGAATGGTGGCTCCGGGAGATTTTCAGGAGGGGCACTGAAATTCGGGTTTCTCCCGGAAAAATCGGGAGGGTTGGCATGTATGGTTGTGGCAAGATTAACCTTGTCAAACATCTCAGATTAAATCATGTCACAGAATATGACGAGCTTATGTTGAGGCGAACTGAAGAGGAGGAGAGGGACAGGTGCTGCTAGGGCGAGACAGACGCCTCTCACGGAGTCCTTTAGTGCTGCAGGCAGGCAACGTGTTTTTCTATTTCTATATGATGAACTCTGCATTATTAAGTGATAAGAACAAGTAATCTGATGTCCTGTAATTATTATGCTGCTATAATTTGAGATACAATAAATAAAATAAGTTTTTGTACAAAGTATCGGTATCGGATCAGTATCGTCGATACCACCCTGAATATTACTTGGTATCAGTGGTATCGCGCATCACTAATGTGTGTTTATGGTTTCCAGATTCTTCTGTGGGGACGAGTCGCCCTGGCAACCAACCAGCAGACATTTAAACCCAAACCATGATCAATACCTGACCCTAATCAAATCAATTTTATTGTCTAAACCTCACCAAATATGTTTTTTAAATGAATAATATATCAAAAATAACACAAATGAAGTCTGTGAGGTCTATTTGGGTGAACATTTTTCATTTAATACTTGAAATTTTGCCATTAGAACTTGAGTTCAGTCCACATAAAAAAAAATTAATGATATTGTGGAGGTATGTAATATATAATTAATGTTTTATCCAAATTGTAGCATATGTCTGTGCATGTCTCTGTTTAGGTTTGGTAGGTAACACTAAATGATCACACCAAAATAAAGATTTTTGTGCTACTTGTCTTCATGATTAAAAAAACTAAAACTAAAACTAAAAAAACAGATGCAATGATAAAGCACAATAATGCTAACATCCAAATCATTTATATAAGGTCAGTTTTCCCAGTACATTAAAGCAGATGAGTCAGTAACTTTCTTACCCTCCTTTGTGTATGTCAGCAGACGGAGGCCTCTTATTGGCAGTCCCATCCTGGTGCACCTTCTTATCCAGTGACAGCGACAATGGAGCGTCTCGCACAGGCAGCCCCAACACCAGCGTCTCCTTAGTAACAGAGACCGCCTCATCGCCAGTTCGACCCATGTGCTTCTTGGCATAGTCGAAGCCCTGGACAGGCTGTTGGGGGGAAAAGGACGACACATAATGTTTGAATTTGCACAGTCAAAGCTAATCCAGCTTTTAGCACAATCCAGTCAGGAGTTTTTGGATTGATGGACCAAAAGCAACTTGAGACATGAAAACAAACATCGACTGTAGAGCACATGCAAAGACATCAAAAAAGGCAATGCAACCGTTTCTGATATGCTGTACATGGCAGACGCTGATGAGAGGGAAATATTGGAAGTGAGTTTACTTTAAAACTCACAAAAATGAACAATGAACAATATATCAGCCACAGAATGTGCAGATCTTGCATGAATGAAAAGAGCACTTGACACCAAAAGAATAACTGAAGAATCAAAAGCGCGAGTTCTTGCAGAATTTAACATCAGAGTTTCCCATTTACATTATTGGTAAGCTAGTTTTCAGTTTGATCATATATGTTATACTGATGCATTTCAACAAGCAAATAAATAGAGCCAATAGCCAGCTGAAGCATATTAGCCAATTGTGTTGTGCGCATGCATGCATACAGCTAATGTTCACAACAGTTTCAGCTGTGTGGTGGGAGATGTCTTTTCTGCCTGTTGCCATAGTAAAGACGTAAATACATCTGCACTTTTTATTGTCTTTGCCTACTGTTTTGTGACATCAGTTGCCCATTGTTGCATTGTTCAGTGCACAACACCTTTTATCCTGATATAAGCACTCTGGATTGAGCGGTAATTGAAGCCATAATGTTGGGTAACACACTTACAGCAGAAGCAAAAGCTTAAAGTTTAATTTGGTGAGTCACCACACTTTAGAAAAGCTCATTGGATTTGACAGGCAATACCATACGTGCAGTTTTTATGGCATGCCACAGAAATTAAAGTTAAGGCTCCTTCTTTTACTGATAAGAGCTACTTAAGCGACACGTATAGAATTTTACTTTGTAAACGTTTGCCAACTATTCGCAAAGTCTAACACTTGGATAGACTTGCTGCGCATTTGGCACCAAATCCAACCTTTTGAAGGCAAACCATTTCTCACTCAC